TTGGACACGTTGGTTCTGATTGTTTCAGAAACAAAAGTAAGCAATTTGGAGAAATAAATGCTGACACGGATTCAATTTAACAGCAAACTTTCGGGTCATAGTGTATTGACAAATAACACAACAATCTCTCAATTTCATTTTTATTACTGGTGCATACAAACCCATAACTTGATATTAACTTATTCAAATTCATGTTTCAGAAAACCTTTTATAATGGCCTATGAGCTTACATTGTAAATTCGCAATTACAAATTATGAATTCTCATTTACATTTTACAATCTCTTATTTACATGTTCTGTTTCTCAATTACATATTACGATATCTAAATTAAATGTTCTGTTTCTCAATTACATATTTTGATTTCTTAATTACAACTTTTATGTTCTCAATTACATCTTGAAAAGGTGTAGTTATTGGTGGTGGTATGTTCATTAAACTTGTAAATAAACCTTTTTTATTCCTACAAATTAGTACGGTATTATAAATCCTCAGCTAGAGAGAAGGTATTCATTATTCCAGCATTTTCCAGTCTTTAGTCAAATCAAATTTAATAGTATTAATGTTATATCCACTTGAAATGATTTCCAGAATAACGTGTAAACATTTTAATAAATCCAGGTTAGCACCATTGATATGTAAAGAAAATTAGGAAATGTGAAATTTCTTTTTAAATGATCTTTGTATTTTTTGCTTCTTTGGCAACTTTTTTTTCTTCAGTACATAAAGTTTTCCATTTTCGTAAAGGTATTTTATGAGCTAAATAAACAAGTGATTCGAAGAAGCGGATTGTTTTACAAAGAATCAAAAGTCCAAATGTATTGGCTTTTGTATTGATTTGTTCTTTTTAAATAAATTTATTGAAATCTTTTGATATTTTTTGACAAATAAAAGAACCTTGTAATGGTATCAGTTACACCTTATGCTTATAAATAAACCATTATTTTTCGAAAAAATTTGGGCACCATTGATTAGAAGAAAACCGAATCAGCATAAAAAAAAAATAACATTCCAATACCACGATAGCTGTAACCAGTAAATAGCGCCAATATAGCAAACGAACTAAATAACAGTTATATGGCGACTATTTGAACAATATTGTTTACTAAATATTTTTTGTTATTGAATGATATTATTGTATAAATAGAGTTTTGCTGTTGTTGTTTTTGGAGACAAAAATATAGAAAATATAATTGATATTATTAAAACTGATATTATTGATATTATTAGTAAAAACGGTTAGGATCTTAAAAATATAAGTTACATATTTGGTATTATTTGTGATTGCCATCAGATCATTTTAATTGATAGCAAAGTTTCTTCAACACGAAAGCATGATAAAAAGAAAAAATCAATAATTAAATAACCTAATGGAAGATCAGTTAATTGTTCAAAATGAAGTATGTTCATTGAACATGAACAAGTAATTCTAAAGTCTTTGTTTACGCGAGCTAAACATCAAATTATTTAGCAACTTGGAGACGATGAACCCATTTGTAAAAACGAGTTACACATATTGAGTAATCAATTAATAAAGACTCAAAACAAAGCTCTCGAGATAATAGTTGAATTATCAAACAAATACAATCTTCTGGAATCAAAACAAAAGGTAGGAAAACTCAATAAAGAAATTGAAAAACTAAATCACGAATTTGCGGAAATTATGGCAGATTTAAATGAATGAATATTGCCTAATGGAAGTTTAAAATCAAGTTTAAAACAACAAAGGATGGAAAAAGAAGTTAAAATGGAAACAAAAAAGCAATGTTATTAATGGTTAAATACTTAAAAATAGAACAGAAGAACTTGGCGATGGTACATTGTACCATCAACTGCAAAAAAAAGTTCCAGAGATAATCTTAATAAGATACAAATGATGGGTGCATGAGAACAAATTAAAGGAAAATGTTGAATCTCTGAAAGAGTTTGTTGTTGAAGAAGCAGATTTTCAAATTGCAGCAACAGAAACTCTACATAGTTAAAACAAAACTATTGGTAGCAAAGCACACAAAGGAAATTCTTACTTTGGTAACAGTGATCAAAAAAAAAAATTAAATTGGATATAGAAATGTTCTATTTGCAAAAATGATCATAAAATATGGGAGTGTCCAACGTTTCAAAGTCAAAATATTAAATAAAGACGGGAGACAGCTAAGAAAAATAAACTCTGCTTTAGATGTTTGAATTCTAACCATTCGTCAAAAGAATGCAGGAACACAACAATTTGTGGGATTGACGGCTGTACAGATACTCATAACCATTTGCTGTACAAGAAAAGATATCCAAATGAAACAATTTCTGAATTTGTCAAGGAAAAAGACACGATAATAGAAAATTCCCACACGTCAAACATCCAATTTCATTCAAAACGTCATGAACTGCATATCTCATAGAACGGTGCCAGTTATTATTCGTAATAGAAATAAAAAAATTGTGGTAAACGCATTACTTGACGATGGAAGTACCAAGACGCATTTGACTTCTGATGTAGCGGCTGGGAAACATCTAAGAAAAATTGAATTCCCAAATATTGGACCAAATCCGTAAATTGACATTCTAATCGGTGTGGATTATGCTGAGCTGCACTGTGCAGTTAAGGAAGTAAAAGGAGGATTTTGAACCAGTGGCTCGACTCACGCCGCTTGGATGGACATGTATTAGCGGTACTGATAGATCTCTTCAAACCCATTTTACAAAAATAACATCTAGTACAAAGGAAATAGAAGTTGTTAATTAATACATTAATAAGTTATAGGAAATTGAAGGCGACTAAGAGACGCAATTAAGAAAAACAATAACAACCGCAGAAGGCTTTACCGCCGTTAATATAATAACTAATTCACTAAAAACAGAGAACGGAAGACATAAGCTAAATCTACCATGGGAAGATAGTAGACAGCTGAACAATAATTGAACCTGTCATTTCGAAAAGGACACAAGTCCAAAACTTTTAACAGTTGAATTATAAATTTAAATTTTTTGTATGATTTATGTTTTTTTTATAAAAAATGAGAGTTACAAAAGTTATATAGATTCTTTATTTATTTACTTTTATGTTTAATTTCTTTAGCAGTGTAAACATTATTTTAATAAAAATCATGTTTTTGTTGATTTTGAAAAGTTTTGATATGACAGGTTCAACTATACAATGGCGTTAAACAGACTACAAAACACGGAAAAACGCCTAATAAAAAACAAAAGTCACGGAGAAGAGTAAAATAATGCTATTAATCAGTATCAAGGGAGAAAATTGCCTGCAATGAAAACTTGGGGTTGTTTGGAAAGCAAATCTTGATTCATTTAGTTTTCATTCTGTTGCAACCGAAGAAAATACGGTATATACAAAACTAATTTTGCTTAAAAAAAAGGCGACATTGTTCGCACCATTGGGTTTTTAGCACCATATATCATTCGAATCAAAATAATTATGCAAGAATTGTGGATACATGGAATTGAATGGGATAATGCAATTCCGAATAGGATTCCAAAAATAATCATTACCAGATGTTTACAAATAATTTCAAGTTACAAAAAAGGCAATTCACGTTTTTACGGATGCGTCTTGTAAAGCTTACGGTGCTGTCGCTTATCAACAATGTTTATATGACACAGGAGAAGTGACCTGTGTGATCATAATGTAAAAAGCCCGAGTAAGTCCATTGCAATCTATTAGTATACCAAGACTTGAGTTACTCGGAGCTATCCTCAGTTTACGACTTGCAGACAAGATTGTCAGAGCATTGAAGCTGGAAACTAAGGACGTAACTCTATGGTGTAATAGCCTTAATATTTTATGGTGGATAAAAAATCAAAGCCGAAAGTTGAAACCATTTATTGCCAACCACGTTGGATTCATTCAATCAAAGAGTGAACTAAAACAATGGAGATACATACTAACAAAAACTAATGTAGCTGATTTACTAACAAGAGGAACAACAGTTAATGAATTAGAAAGTAATAATGAATGGTGGCACGGACCAGGTTTCCTTAAGAGTTTTCTTAAGAAAAAAAATGGCCACAGAATCACATTGAAGTCACACAAGAAGCTTCAATTGAAGTAAAGAAAAATTAGAATTAATGAATTTTGCATTTCCACTGAAGTAACAAACCAATTGCTTGATATAATTAAGTTCTCATGTTGAAAAAGACTTGTCAAGATAAACGGATGGATCCATCAGTTTATAGGAAATTGTTAATTTGAAACAGACTTTTGTAGAAAAGGTGATATAACAGCTGATGAATATCATGAAAGCGAAAAAGAAATAATAGCTAAAGCCCAAAAAGAAAGCTTTAAAAAAGAATATAGCAACATTGTAAAAAAGATATCGATACCAAGTTTCTTCAAACCCACAAATTGACAAAGACGGATTATTGCGATCTTGACTCGAAATTATTTTTTGATTTGGCAACTTGAAGGATAATTTGCCCCTGACTTAGTTCAATCTAAAGGCTATCATCCTAAAAAACGCTGGCGTTGAGTGCAAAAACTACTACGTCATTTTTGGAAACGGTGGATGCGAGAATGGCTTCCATCTTCATCTAAAAGATATAAATGGAATCAACAAAAACATGAAATAAAAAACAGACGAGATTGTGATAGTAATATCTCCAGATACACCCAGAGGACATTGGCCCCTCTGTAGAATTACGGAAGTCTTTGATGGTAAAGATGGACGTGTAAGAGTTGTGAAAGTTAAAATTAAACATTTATAGACAAATAAGGCAGTTTTTTTTAAAGGTTTAATTTTCTTTAACTTTTCGTCCAAAGAGTTCGTCCACAAATTACGTCACGCAATTTTTGACAGTTTTCTACCCCCTCCCCCCTCATCACCACACCGCAACTCTATAGTATGTTCTGTAAGAGTCGTAACAAAACCATTAACTCCTCCTCCCCCCCCCCCCCCCAAAAGAGTGACGTAATTTATGGAAGACTCTTAATGAAGAAAATAAATAAAAATAAAACAAAACCGCAATTTCTAAACTTAAAAGAAAAAACAAATTATTGATCATAGATTACGTCTTAATCTCTAAATTACTGAAAATATACAATATTTAAATTGCAATTCATCTATCGTTCAACTTTACAAAAGAGTACTTATGCGACATCAAAAAGATTTTTATGAAGTAAACAATAAAAGAAAAATGTACAAAAAACTTATTTATAAGTAATTATTTACATATGTATAAACCATTGACTAGTTTCCATCATAAAAACGTGCACAAGAGAAATAACAGAAGGTTTAATCTTTTTTGAAAATTAAAATATAAAATATCAAAACTAAGAAGAAAAAACCTAAAACGGTATTCTATTTACTGTGGAAAACGTACAGGAAATAATTTTTTTTTCAAAAATTATTTTCGTAAAGCTTCTGGAAATCCTTAAATTTACTAAATGCAATGTAGAAAGCAATCAAAACAAAATTAACAGAAAAAAATAGTTTAATAAAAGTCTAAATTTACAAATTTATAACATAAAACCATAAAATCGATTTTGATTAGAAAAAACTGATTTAATAAAACAATCATACCATCCACGCAGAAAGAAATATATCACAATTCAATCAGCAAAAAAAAAAAGAAAAAAAAAAACTATCCTTTGTATTATCCGCGAAGCATGAAGTATTACATTCTAATAAAAACATTACCATCCGCAAAGCAATAAAAGCTTTAAAAGTTGTGTATGCAAATGACAACACAGTTCATTATAAAATTGTTATTTTTTATTGATTTATTCAAAATTTTTGTTCGCAAACCTTTTGAGGTCATGAAAATAACCGCCACTAAAAATGTCGTAGATGTCGTAGACTGTTTTTAGATGTCGTATATTATTATCGCCCATTAAACAGTTTTACTTAGGTAAAGAGAAGCTCCTCAATCCATCCTGTGGAGTTCATACTACCTGTTAATTCGTGATTCAAATCTGCAGGTGCATTAGAATAATATGCAGTTGCCAGATTTTTAGATGAAGACAACAAAAAACTATCATTTGCTAGCTATAATTAAAGACCATTGGATCTTGCATTGGAGTTCTTGGTGTGGGGCAAGGGTATAACATTTCCATGTCAGAATTAAGCTTAGCCCTGTGCAACAGTGGTTCTGATGTACTGCGATTAATTTTGGGTAACGTTTTAAGAATTGATTCAATAGATCGACAAATCTAAAAAGTAATTAACACAAAGATAACTTACTTACATAAACTTAAACAACCTAACTAATGAGTAAACGTTTAATTAATTGGTTGTATTTATTAATTTTATAAAAAAAGATTTTTTAAATAAAAGTTTTCAACCCAAATTAAAACCCAAACTAGATTAAATTCTAATAATAAAGCTAATAATAACATTTCTGCAGATGTAATAATGCGCGCTGTTTAAGATGTAAAGATCAATAACATGTCTATTAAATCGGCATAAAAAGATTGAGAGACTAACTACAATGTTTTTTTGTAAAATAATTTTAAATTTATTTTGGGTTAACTCCTACTAAAGTAAAAAAGATTACAATTAAAATATTATAAAAGTTCCCAAACATTGGATTGAAAAAGAGCAAGCTCATAAAGGGTTTACTGCATTTATGAATTTAATAATACTTTTATTAAGTGATTTTTAATAAGCAAAATGTTCATCATTTTTTCAACAACTTGCATAACTTTTCATAATTAATCATCGTCATCAAATGACATTTGGAACACAGACGAAACATCATCTTTTGGACATGGATGAAACATCATCATTTGGAACATAGACGAAACAGTGATAACTACAGTACAGCAACCTAAAATTTATTTCTAGCAAAGAATAAAAACAGGTAGGAGCATTATTTGAAAGAAGAACGCTTGCAACTCTAGCGTGCACAAAAAATGCTATCAGTAAAATATCTTTGTATGCAATACAAAAACTTTATTTATCACAGCTCGACAAACTTAAAACCATATTATTATTAAAGGATTAGATTTTGCAAAAAATTATTAGACAAGCAATGCATACCTTTCCACCCGATTGTACACATAGGTTGCAACCCCCGGATAAGACAGTTTACAATTCACTCAAAAACTAAATAAACAATGGAGTGACTTAATGTATGCTGGACAAACTGTAACAGTATGATACAGTAGCGTAAAGAAGGGTCCACATTCGCGGATGAAGGGAGAAGAGGGCCCTGAGTTATTAGGTGACCAAACCAACTTTTTCAAAAATTTTTTTACCACTCTTATTATAATAATACTCTTAATATATTAATAGCAAAAATTGCTAATAAAATAGAAAAATAAAAAATAGTTTGAAAAAGATTGTCTGAAAAAGAGTAATACTTCAAACTATAGTTAAGATTATTTTTTTAGCTTTCATTATAATCTTAACTAATACTTCAAACAGTGAGCAACTTTTTATTTGTTTTTATCTAAAAAAATTAAAAAAAACTGCACTACTCATAAATAATATACAATTTTATTAAGTAGCAAGTATGATGTTGTAACGTTTTTAAAGAAAAGTACAATAATAAATATATTGTATTAAAACAACGACTCGCTTTAGAAAAAAGATCGCTAAGATGGATGTCGAGGTGGCAATGAAGCATAAATGACGTATTAATCTACATAACTGACATATTTTACTCTAATAAAGTTAATCAGTTATATAAAAGTTTTCTCGAAAAAGTTTAAGTATCTGTAAAAGTTAACAATAAACAAATACTTATCTACATATCTTATCATTATAGACCATATCATACTAATTTAAAAAAATATATATCACTGGATCCTTCAAATTAGCTCATAGCTTAATAAGGAAGCCCCTACGATAGCTGCTTTGTTGTTGGTAATTTTAAATTCCCGAATATAAAGTGGTCTAATGATGGCATTAAATCCTTTAACCAAAATAATTCTACTATTTCTGAATATTATTAATAATTTCTGGAATATTTACTAAATTTTTTAAAAAACATATCACATCTACTTCTAGACACTCTGTGGTTGCTCAAGTCATATTTTGGACTTGTTATTTAGTAATTCTAGTAACAGTTATTATATTTTAAACTTGTTTCCTAATGCTATATTAGGTAATAACACTAAGGGTCGCTTAAGAATCACTTGAAGAATCTTAGTTTTAGAATCGTTTCCCAAAAGTGAATCTCAATTGTTTACTAACAACAAAGGTAATTACAATTTAGTATCAAATTTTATTGCATCAATCAACTGGGCTATTTTATTTCTAAATAAAACCGTGGATCAAATGTTCAACTTATCAATTTCTAACAATTGTGCTGTTGGCAAATATTTCATCCCCAAGGTTAATAAAACAAAGTAAAATTATGATCTTTAAGTTACTTCACATTTTAAAAATCCGAGCAAAAAAATCTGTTTGGGTTATTCAACTTAATAGAAAATAACACTAAATATGGTATGTTGTAGTACATACATATGTAGTACATATGTTGTAGTATGTTGTAGTGTTTGGTTTATTCAACTTAATAGAAGAATAAACTTTAAAAAATTTGCAATCTTCTTAATCGTTTGTAAAAGCTGAAATATTCAAAGCAAAAAAAAGCACACGAAAAAGAAATAATATTAAAATCTCAAAACAACCTAAAAAATGCCTACAAATATATTAACAAATAACTAAAAATTAAAGATAGAGTTTGTTCTCTCAAAGGCAGAATTATTGAAGCTCTTCCTTATATAGTTGATTTTCTGAACTCTCAATTAAAATCTGTTTACACTTGAAAGCTCTAAATATTTTACATCATTAAACAAAAGTGATATCAAAATTTAATGAACATATAATGACAACTTGAGTTTCTTTATTTCAGACATTAAAGAACTTACCAATCTAAACCCCTATAAATCTTTTTTCCATTTACAAAAATCTTTCATAAATCCTTTAATTCTGGAATACTATCCACACTATGGAAATAAGCAAATTTTAGGGTCTATAAAAAAATGGAATATTAATTTTTCAAATTAATAGCTTAAAATTATTGACCTATTTCATTAACCTCTGATGACTGCAAAATCTTCAAAATACTTGTTAAGAACAAAATCTTTAATCACATTAATGATAATAACATGCTCTCTGCAAATCAACATGGCTTTTTTCACCATAAATTATGCATGACTTATCTCATAGAAATTGTTGATATTATTTTGTCTTCTACAGGATTTCACTAGTTAAATGATATAATCTGAACACTGCCAAATTGTTTGATTCTCTACTTCACAACAGACTTATGCTAAAATTAAAATATTTCTGAATAAACAGCAAACAAAATAATAAGGTATAATAAACCAAACATAAAAAGCTTTACTAAAGAACGTAATTTAGGAGTCATTTTTTCAGCTAACACTAATTAAGCAAACAGTTTTCTCTAAGTCTTTACAAATTCTTGGTAAAAAGACATTCACTTTCATTAATGAAACTATGAACTCAAGTTATATAAATAAGGTTAAAGTTTATTCTTTACTCCTGCATTTCACACATTGAGAATTTCTACATTTTTCCACAATAACATTGTGATATAAGTTGCTCATTCACTTCAGGCTATACTTGACATTACTCATTAGCGTGACAACTGCAAGAAGAACCTTAAGCACATTAAAAAAAATAAAACATTTAAGGACAATAATCGTGCAAATCATTTTCTCTGCACTAAACCTAATAACTATTGAAGAAGAAATAGCAGTTTAATTAAATTTAAAAGGTGTAATAGAACAATATGCAGCTATTAAGGCAAAAGAAAAAAAAAACTTTCATTAGATTTTCTATTTACTAGACTTACTTAGTGTAAATACTGGTTTCTTTTTCATTAAATTAAAATTGTATTTAAAAAAAAGTTTTTGTTTTCATGTATAATTTTTTCAAGAAAGGAGAAAGGAGAAGGGGGTAGCAGAAAAGTAATTAAGGGGACTGAATTTAAATTTTGAAGGAGTGGGGGTTGGGGGTGGTGGTGGCTGTTTTTCGTTGCTATGCTACTGATACTGAAGACCAAAATTTTAAACATTGCTATTCCACAGGCTATATCTTCCAAAAAATTTTTAGATGGTTTTACTACAACAGGTATTGATCCATTTATGTTATAAAGTTTATTATTGTTATTATATACTGTGAAAATTAGCATTATATTTATTTTTATTAGATACATTAGTAGGTGTTTACTTTATATTAGTAAATTTACTATTTGTAAACATCCTTGAATGTAAAATCTTAATTCAGAAATAAATAATAAATTGATTGATTGATTCGTGCCAGTTCTCAATACAACGAACTACCAAAAATTATTAGACAATCAAAAGATTTCATAAAAAACTCTTAAAAAATTATTTTGTTTAATTTTTTAAACAGCCTTTTATTCCTTTTTTTAAAACAAACTTTCATTATTTTTATACTTTGGCAATTTTAAGAGAACAAACATTAAGATAAAATTATCTTAAGTTTTACTGTATAAGTCCTTCAAATAATAACAACTTCTAGATGGCTTCAAATAATAACTCCTTCTAGATAAATAGAAAATGATTATTTTTAAATGTGGAATATCTATTAAACGGCTGCTTACTGCTACTTACTAGTAATAATAAGCAGGTGGATAACAAGATTTTTATGGTCACCTGCTAGACATAGGTAATTTATGTCACATATGGAAGGTATAAAAAGTAAAGACACTGAAATGACACTAAAAATCTATAAAGACCAAAACTAAATGCATGTTAAAAAAACAAACAAAAAAGATGAATAAAAACCACAAAGAAAGCAGAGAAAAAATTATCAAAAAACTAACAAAAAATAGTCAATACTGATTAAACTAACAACAAATCATCAATAATGATTAAACTAACACCAAGTAATAATAAATAATAAGTAAACAACAAATAATCAATAATGATTAAATTCTTAAATTATAGAAAACTTTTATTTTTGATTGCAATGCAAGATTATAATATAAGCATTTTTAAAGTGATAAGAAAAGCTTAACAAGAAAAAAAAAATCCTTACTTGTAAAAACAATGGTCGTTCATCTCTATTAAAGGTACAACATTCTATGCATAGTCGTTTTAATGCTTTTGGACAGTCTGAGCGAATTTTAGATAAATCTGGTTTCAAATAACCACGACCTACCATATATATCAACTGCAAAACAAAGTAGAGCGTAAAAAACAGTTCTGTTAATTACCTTCTAATAAATAATTAAAATTATTTTTTTAATTTTATGTTTATTCTAATAAAAGTTTTTTATGTTTATTAATATATATAACTATTAAACTATTAAGAACTATTTAATACTACAGTTTGTTAAAACTTTTATAAGTAAAACCATTTAAAATATCTATTACCTGATCTTTATTACCAATATTTGAGTAAGGCAGTGTACAAGTTATAAGTTCATAAATGCATATTCCAAATGCATAAACATCAGACATAAATGTGTATGGGTTCGGATCTTGCATGCGAATAACCTCAGGAGCCTTAAAATTTAAAATTTTCTTATAAAAATCTAAAACATCTACAAAAAGAATAAAAATTTAAATTTTTAAAAACTTTATTCACCTCCCCATGGCCAACCTCCCCATGGCCAAGAGGGCTACTGTAGTTTAAGAGACTACTCTTTTTTTTTTTTTAAATTTATTACTACCAATCTTCTTTTAACCATATAACTCCAAAACAACAAAACTTGACAAAAAAGGCTGTTATGCCTAGTTTTCTTTTTTTTTAGATTCACCTCCTGAAGGCCAAGTGGGCCACTACAGTTGACAATGGATTTAAATTTTTTTTTTGTTTAACAACTTGGAAACTTGAACCTTGACGAACAAAGCCATCACATGAAAAAACAAGTTGAGCGATAATAACAGGGATGTAGTGGGGAAAGAACTTGGCACTTCTGGCTTATGATGCAAGGGCTCTACCATTACACCACTACCACATTATTATAGTTAATAACACATTATTATACCTAAGCACGTAACATCAAGGATGTGGTGGGGATTAAACTATATATTTCTCCTTATAAGAAAAGCTCTCCTACATATTACCATATTAATTAAAGAACTAGGAAACAAAAATTACCATCCATAAAATAGACCCTGATGGTTGCTCACAACCATGATCTCCACTCCACCTTGTTTTAACTGTAGCAAGACCAAAATCTCCAACTTTAACAGTGTAATCTTCTTGCAAAAAAATATCTATTAGCTAGTCAAAGAAATTAAAAAAAAAAGGATGAAAATAATATAATTATTAAAAAAAAAAAAATTTTTAACTTTTTGAAGCCTTTTTTTTGAAGCAACATTGAAGTAATTTTTTTTTCAAAGCTGAATTTCAAACTTCATTAAAAAAAAAAGATATATCATGCAAAAATTAGATATTTACTAAACTTAAGCATATTATATAACTCTCATTGTTTATCAAAAGAAAATATATAACTTACATTTGTATAAGCATAAAAGAAAATTTATAGCTTACATTTTTATGTGAATAAAAACACATCTATACATTACATTTTTATGTTTATAAAAGAAAAGGATACTATTTGATTTCAAATCACGATGTATTATCGATTTTGCATGCAAATAACTGCATAGAAATTTTTTATTAAATACTAATAAGCAAAACGTTATTCATAAAAATAATCAAGAAATAATTTTACACAAAAATACATAAAACCTACTCAATTCCTTGAGCTGTCTGTCTAGCAATTTCTATAAGTTGTGGTAAAGAAAATTTTATGTCCATAACATGTAAATGTCTATATAAACTAGAGCCTTCACACCATTGGGTAACTATAGATAAATTTGGTGCAGACATACATCCCATAAATAATAAAATGTTCACATGCCGTGTTTTGCGCAATACAGCAACTTCATTTTTAAATGCTTGCAACTGTTGTGGGTTGGGGTGTTTCACATTTAACTGTTTTACAGCAACTGTTCCTATTGTTTTATAATATTTAACTCAATTTTTATAAAGTAATAATTTTTGAAATAAAAAATAAACTGATCTTTTTCATAAAAACATGCACACAACATTTTTAAATTTTTTTCTTTACATATGCCCTTATACAATTTTTATTATAAAAATATTATACAACAATGTTACTTGCCATGCCAATATCCTTTGTACACAGTTCCGTAAGATCCAGAACCAATTCTTTGTCCCACTTGAATTTCACCTTCCTTAATCTCCCAATCATCATTAGAATCGCGATGACTGACAGTTTTGAACTAAAAAAAAATTTTAAGAATTTTTTCCACAAAGCATTATTGACAATCTATTGCAACAGAGTCCTCAAAACTTGATCTAACAATTTTGACTGTGAATTGATAATCAAAACAAAAAAACTGCATAAATATGTATATAAAGGCTTATTTACACATGGATATTTTTTGAGTTATATGTAACAGGCCTAGTTATAAGATTTTGTATAACAGAAAAGCTGTACATGTAACTTTACTCAATATATATTTAAATTGTTAAAAGTTAAATTACCTCAATTGCATATTTTAAAGTATTAATATTGATAAAAAGAATTTTTTATTTTTTTAACATAGTTTAAAGTTTTAAAAAACTAAAAAATTGTAAAACCAAGCAATTTAAAATAAAAAAATTTGTTTAATTATATTTAATAAAATAAATTTAAGTTTATTAATATTTAATAACAAACTTAATTTAAATTAAATTTTTTTTAAAAACAGAAAGTACAAAAAAATTTATTTAACTATCTGTTTTTTATAAAAAAAAAAAAAGTTATTTTGCATTAAAAATATTTTTTACAACAATTAATTACTGCTTAATGTTTTCTGCATGAACTACTTCAAAAGACTGTTTAAATATTCCAATTGAAAAAAGTTTTGACATAACCTAAATGGCTTAAACTCTTAGGTAAAACTACCTTTTCTTTAGGTAAAATGCGAACAGCATAGCCCTTTTTAACAAGGCCTGTATTAATTTTGCTTAGAGTACAAAATAAGTAGATTTAAAGGGTCACACTATATAATTATTCTAAGGTCTTAAACAAATAGTAATATAAAAAATGAAATCATTATAAGTACAGTAACAAATGATTACAAAAAAAGAACCTTTTGCTTTTCATCTGAATGTGATTTAGATCGATGACGAATTCTTGCAGGATTTAAAAGGGAACCAGGAATACCACTTAACTCTTGAGCATGTGGCTGGTTACTGGTTAACTGAGGAAGAACCGTTGAAAAATTAAAAATATTGTTATTCCCAGTTTCACGAGAGATTAAATCCGGGATACGCCGTTGATTTATGATAAAATGATTTAAAAACGGATGCATAATACCAGCTAAAAACAAAACCATAATATGTAATTTATGCATACATACACACACAGATATAAATATAAATATTTCATAAATAAAACAACATATTTTTTACAATTATAAGCTTCATGCTAAATGCAATCATCAGGTAAAAAAATTTTTCTTGTGGAAAAATAATTCTATAGAAGAAAAAAATGCATTAGAAAAATCTGATCTTTTGGTTTGTGGTTGTCCAGCAAAAATTTTTTCTCATGGCGACACTTGGATACTAGTTCACTTTTTTTTTAATAATTCTTTGGGATTTTTAAACAATTAAATTATTAGTTTTTTGTATAAACATAATAGGTATTTTTTAGTTATGTTGTAGGCTGGGGAGGAGGGGGCTTTTTATGATGGACCATGTTGAATTGGGTGTTGTTTCTAACTTATCCTTGGTACCCCATAGGTATTTTGAAAGCGTGGTTGAATTTTAAAGTTTTTTGTTTTTGAATGAATGCTTGTGGTTCGCCCATCTAATTTTTCACACACCCTCTGTTGAACCTATATATGTTTTGTTTGGGTGTGTTTGGGAATGATGCACTTATAAATTCCATTTGTTTTTCTGCAATCTTCATTCATAGAGCAGATTTCGTTTAGTTTACAATTGCAAGCTAAAATGGCAGTTGGGTTCATCGAAATAAATTTATTGTTGTGATTCTTTATAATTTTTGCTATGTTGCTTGTGCAGCTGTAGCTAACTTTTATTGTGTTGCGGTTAAACAGTTTATGAAGCGGTTTTTAAACTAAGATTTCATTGTACATTTATTTCAAAAACTTCAAAAACAGTTTGAGAAACATGGCAATATAGTAAAAATCTGATAAATTTGTTCTTAAGACTATAATAATAAAAAATACAAATTTTACATAGCGATTGAATAATACAATACAAAAAAATCACTTGTTTGAGAAAATAAACTATAAATTGACTTTTTCAGTAATTTTACACTTTATTTCTTGCATGATATTAACTCATTTTAGCACAAATGTTACTTCTTTGTGTTGGAATTGTTTTACTGTCTCTATTTTAATGCTTCTTAAAAATTATTTGCTCCTTCTTGTGTTTGTTAACTTTTAATTACAAAATCTTAAGAAATATCGGGTGGTGTTTTCTTTTCACCAAATTTATGATGATTTTTGAATGCTTTAAACTAAATCTAATATATGATGCTGTCATCCTATATACTGTGGTTTAGGAATGTCTTTTTCTATATAATCATTTTACCAACTTTCCACAGTTATTCAATACTCTAGTTTTTTTTATTTTAATTCACCTCCTCAAGGCCGAGAAGGCCACTGCAGACGAGGAGGCTACTTATTCGTGGCTATAACCCTCTCTCAACTCTATAACTCCGAAACACGAACCTTGACGAACAAGGCCGCTGCGCGGAGAAACGAGTTGAGCGCGGTACTACCAGGGACGTGGTGGGGATCGAACTCGGAACCACTAGTTTATGAAGCGAGCGCTCTACCACTACACCACTACCGCATTGTTATTCTATTCAATAGTGTTAATAATTTTCCATAATCATAAAGTAGTACTGCTAAGCAAACTTCATAGTTCTAATTTTGCAATACTTGCATTAAAATTTAGTTTTTTATTTTAAATTGTTTTTAAATTCAAAGTGAAGAGCCTAAGTTTTATTTCAAGAGTTTTGTAAAAGTCATGCTGCATTGCCTGTGATTCTTTAATATACACTTTATATATTGCAGATTGTATTGGTGTAGGGATATTTATACTTTGGTTAGATAGTTGCAAAAACATTTATTCAAATAGTTTCTTGCAACTATTATTCTGAAACATATTTTATTAAATAGTTTCTTGCAGTTAAGTTTAGCTTTACACGATTATACTACAAACAGTTTTTAAACTAAGATTTCTATTTATGTGATATTTATATCTAGTTGTTGAATGTTTAAAAAATAAATTAACTGAAAAATTTTAACAAACCTGATGTCACAGAGTCATTTCGATGAAAGTTTTCAGTCAATTCTTCCTTAAAAATAAAGTAAAAATTCTTCCTTAAAAATAAACTTTTATAAAATATGAAACTTGAAATTGTTGATAAAAATTTAAAATCTTTAGCTAAAAAAAAATAGTTTTATGAAAAACTTACGAATAAAATTTAACCACTAAAGCAAATTACATGAAATATTAAAAAAAGACGTTTTTAAAAATTTTTAAAAAGACATTAATAATGCCGAAAAAAAGTTTTTTTTTTTTTTCAAATCTTGAGACTAAATGTTTATTTAAACTGTTGTATTTATTTTATATATTTATATTATATATTTATATTACATATATTTATTTTATATATAAGACACAATCTATAAAACTACTTACAGAGTTAAAGATGAAAATTTACAATATTATTAAACACATAATAAAAATATACAAAGAAAAATATTGCAGACTTTCTTAGCAAAAGAGCTGCTTTAAAAAAAACATAAAAAGCTAAAAAAACAAATTAAAATTCATTTTCTTAAAAAATATGGTTCCTATGGAGTATAGCAACCATATTTTTTAAGAAAGTGAATTTTAATTTGTATATAAGAAAACTTCCAACCCACTCATATAATATATTTTTATTTACTTCAACCAATCATTCTCAGAATTGTTCTGTTATCATTTAATGATGCTGAGTCTGCTATCATTTAATTGTGCTGAGAGCTCTGTCATTAAATGGTGCTGAGTATATTGTCATAGCAACATAAGTTTGTTATGGTTGATAAGTTAAGCTTTCTTCTTCAGAAGCAATAGAAACATCATGTACCTCTGTTCAAATATCCTGTTATGTTATTTGCTTTTTATTTTTTTGGAACTAATTTTTGCAATTTTGTTAGAGAAAAAAATATCTTAATTTTAATGCAAGAAATCTGCAAAGTGATGTTACTAAAAAATTATCTTAATTTTAATGTAAGAGATCTGAGAAGTGATGTTACTAAAAAATTATCATAATTTTAATGCAAGAGATCTGAGAAGTGATATTACTAAAAAATTATCATAATTTTAATGCAAGAGATCTGAGAAGTGATGTTACTGAAAAATTATTATAATTTTAATGCAAGAGATCTGAGAAGTGATGTTACTAAAAAACTTAATCAGAATCATATCTAAAGAAAATTTTTTTCAACTTTGAAACTAAAATGAGTGATCTTAGTGTCTATACTCTTAATAAGTTCATAGTAATTTTGCATTAAGCAAAATTACCATGAACTTATTAAGAGTATAGACTATAAAAAATATAGGTTCTGATTATATGCATTTAAGAATACACATAAAATTTATAAGCTTTACTTATTTTAATAACTTTGATAAAAATTTAAAAAAAAATAGCAAAATGCATAAAAAAAACAACTACTGACATTATTAAAAGTACTGACATCACTTCAACTACTGACATCACTACAACTACTGACATCACTACAACTACTGACATCACTACAACTACTGACATCACTACAACTACTGGCCTCACTACCACTACTCGCCCACCTCAAAGTATGACATCCTTTTGGAATTATTTCTTACAACAATAAACTAAAACATACTAATTAAAATTAAAATATTAAGAGATTATAACACAAAAAAACAAACAACAACTCTAGTTTAAATTTTATCGTAAAATATGTTTTATTGTAAAACATATTTTAAAAAACTAACAAATATTCAGATAACTTCCATTTATAGATTTTTTTTTACTTGTTCAGGTTAGTCTATTTCTAAGAAATAGACTTTTTCTTGTGTTTCATATCTAGAATTAATTTGTTGAATAATATCTTTTTATATCTTGATTTTAATATAATTTTTTATAGTTAATAACTTTTTATACTCTTTTTATAAGTTATTTTACAGTTAACATTTAAACAAATAAAATAAAAACACTGCAAAATATGGTAAATTATTATCAAATACGGTGAATTGTTACAAGAAAAATCTTCCTTACATTAATACCAATTGTTGCAGATTGATCAATCGTATTAACATTAGGTACTGAGAGGGAGCGGCCACGGTCTTGAGGTCCAAGTAGTCGTGGTGTCAAAGGTATAGGAGAAATTACGGAGTTTTGGTTGCTATTCCTTTTAATAGATAGAATTTTAAATTATTATCTATTAACTTTTAAATAAATTTAGAAAAAAGCTACTTAAATTCAAATAGATATAAAAATCTCAAAAAATAATAACTTCAAAGAGAATATCCAAATAAATTATTTGATTTGAGTTTCTAGCATGTAGGTAAATATCTTATATAATTTAAGTAACTATAAGCCACAATATCAAATAATTATAGCTAAACAAATAACACCTTTTATAACCGTTATAATGAACTGTTTGTTGACATAATGAAGGTACTTCTTTTGCACACTTTTGATGAAATCTGTAACCACAAGTTTGACATCTAAATTGTTTAAATATTATTTTTTCATAAAAACTTGTGTGGTACAAATCATTAAAAAAATAAAAACTCCACATTTTTACATATTTGGCAGAACAATTAGCTTCAAAAGTTATACAAACAATCATTTTCTAATCACTATTGATGCTTTTTCTACAATTGAAATATAGTTTATTTGGTTTTTACCTGGTTATGAAAAACTTTGACTTAATCTGATCACTTCATTAAAAATATTTAAATATGTTTATCATGTTGTAATAAAAAATGTACTGGTAATGACTTTTAGCTTTTTTTTGTTAATATTTTATTATTACATATATTAAAAACAATGCTTTCCAATAAAAAAAAACACTTTTTCAAATTTTATTTGTTTAAATATAAATTACTTATTACATCAATCAAAATCTAAAATCATTTCAAATTAAACTGATTTTTTTACAGTAGAAAAATTGTAATTTTATTTAAATTTTTATTTTATATTAATTAATACCCAATAATGTGTATTTGTGTGTGCATATACATATATATATATATATATATATATATATATATATATATATATATATATATATATATATATATATATATATATATATATATATATATATATATACATATATATATATACTCTTGCATGTCTCTTGCATGGCATCAAAAAAAGTTTCCCATAAACTGTAGTTTTAAAGAGCGCGTTAATAAACCAGACCAGAAAAAGTTTTAAAAATTAAATTTTTTTTTTAATTGATAGACTGCCTGGCCAAACCAAACCCTCAGTCGATGTAGCAGCACTCTCTTGCGAGTCAGGCTATTTGTCAGTCGTTGTAGCAGCACTCCCTTGCGAGTCAGGCTATTTGTCAGTCGATGTAGCAGCACTCCGTTGCGAGTCAGGCTATTTGTCAGTCGATGTAGCAGCACTCCGTTGCGAGTCAGGCTATTTGTCAGTCGATGTGGCAGCACTTCGTTGCGAGTCAGGCTATAAGATAGTCGATATAGCAACATTTACGCATGTTTTAAAAATGTTTTTTATTAAATCAATAACAAAAACACCACTAATTAAAAAAAACTTTCTAGTCGTTATAATTGCGGTTTTTTAAAAATTTTTTAAAAAACAATTAAATTTAATGTACTTCCGCATAAATTAATTGCTTTGACATTTCGATGACAATCAAAAACAGCTTAAGAGACGAGGTAATTAAAATTGTAGTCGTAAGAGACTTTTTTTACATTAAAACGCTCTTTCGACTACACTATATGGGTATATATATATATATATATATATATATATATATATATATATATATATATATATATATATATATATATATATATATATATATAAAATATCCTAATATATATAATATATATATTAGGATGACAATTAAAATTTTTTTTTGAAAATTACCACTACATTTTAAGCTCAATACGAATTCAAAAAGGTCTTAGAAAGTTGTTTTTGAACACAATTTTTACATAAAAGTACATTAGGTAAAAATTGATTTTTAAGATATTTGTCTTTTTTTCTACTTGTTTTTACTTTTTGTTAATATTAATTATTCTTTGTTATGAACTAATGAAATGAATATTTTCTGCTGATTTTAATTTTAGAAAACTGATTAAATATTGCACTTACAGATCAGAATGGGAAAAGCAAAAACAAAAAAACAAAAAAAAAACAATTCTTTATATTATTTAAATACAAGTGCCAGAAGACCATTGTATCTGCTTAAATTAACTATTTCTGAATTTCAACCTTATCAGCTCCCTTTTAATGGAACAGTTTTAAAATATATCAGTATCTTATCTGTTCTAGATCTAATCCAAAATCTTAAATAAAACCTTTGAATGTGTAACTGGCAAAAATTTTGATTTGGTATGCAAAGAAAAAACTACATGTCAGCATGAAAATGAAACCTTTTGCCTCCTTTGAAAAATAGTAAACCTCAGGAAACTTTATGGATTTGGCAACTATTTAATTTCTGAATCAAAAATTCTTGAAAAGTTTGTAAAACTTCACAAAAAATGGCAGCTTATGATACAGCAACAAAAACTAACTTGAAAGATAGAAAGCAAAGAACAAAAAAATTATAAAGTTTTAAGTAAAGACATTTTAACATTCTTTTGTAATATGCAGATTTGTATAATGATATAATATACTTAGATTTAATGCGTAGAACACTTTATTGTAATTTTTTTTAGAGTATAATGGAAGGTCATTTCGAAATTGGCAAAGCAAACATAAAAGAACTAATATATCAGAGTATCGATATGACTATAACGGTATAGATATAACGGAAGATCTTTTATTCATTGAAGATCAGAGGAGATCTAAAAGAGATGAAGACAAACAACAATCTATTTCCCAATGGAACCAGTGTATTCCTGCATTAATAATAAAGTCTTGAAAAAAATATCCCCTTGTTACAACTTATTTACTGCTAAACAGAATTTAATTTAAAAATATATTGTCGGAGTGTATTTCTTTATAATTTCTCTCTGTACTGTAGTTGTCTTCGATATATAATTTCTTTAACGAACGAGTGGTTAATGATTTAGGCCTTTATCGTGATAATGGTTTACTACACATTACTAAGCGCAAAAAATCTGGTCCACAGCTTAATAACGTTAGAATAAAAGAGATCAGACGAAGAAGATATCGAAGTTGATAAAAACCTTTCAGCTGATTATGACTTGAAAGTGAAACCCAATTACAAAATAGCAAATTTATGTTTAGAATGTACTCATTTACTGTATTAAAATATTTACATCCTTATTACGGTTTTATAAAAAAACTTCTTTATAGTTTATACTTTATATAGATCCTAAATATATGAGTTCAAAGTAGAGTGAAGACAGTTCTAATGAAGTCCAAATACATAAAGTGAATAAAGAAAAACAAACACATGCAACTGCTATTATTGATCATAACGCTATTATCAGAGTTGGCCTAATAGCAGCAACAACACCTTTAAGTGGATCAGTTACAGAGATCAACCAATGTTTATTTCCTGTGTAATGAACTACTTAGGAGTAGAAATAAAATTAAAAAGAGACTGTAAGGCAGAAGTTCTATGAAACTATAGTACACAAATGCATTGAAATACGAATAAACTATAGAGATGAATTAGGAGGTAAAAAATTTGTTCTCCATTTTGATGATAAAGTATTTAGCCATATTGGAGAAAAATTGAGACAGAAAAGTAGCTGACCAAATTGCTGTTTCTGTTACAAACCCAGAATTCGGGCATAAAGATAATCTTCTTTTAAGGGTAGTACAAAGTAACAATGGAAAAGCACTTAATCAGGTTTTATTTATACAAAATCTGCTGAAGTATTTTGAAGTACTTGACCAAATTTTGCAGTTTATACTGACACTACGGCCATAAATACAGGCAAATTGTAAAATTCTTGTTAAAATCAATTATGATTTTAACAAGACTTTTAAAAACCACTGCTTTGGTTAATGTGTAGACATCATAATTATGAACTGCACATTAAACATGTATACAAATTATAACTGGGATTAAAAGCAAAGGCCCAAATATTAAACTTTATTACAACTTTAGGAGGTGATGGGAGGAATTTTCCCCATTAATTTAAAACGTTTAAAAGGTTTTCTAAGAACTCACTCACTTTTGGATCAGGCATATACAGTTTGTGTTTTGAAGCAAAAAGTTTTATTGAGTTTTCTTTGAATAACACAACTTTTCCAAGGGACGATTACAAGCATCTTGTAGAATATCTTGCTTTTTATTTTAACATTTACCCTTATAATTTAAAAAAATTTCAAACTTATCAGATCAGCACCTGTCATGCAGCTCGTTTGATGACAGATTCCATAAATCACCTAGTTCTTGAAAATTCATCACCAGTAATTGATTATCTACATGAACGACAAAAAGAAAATGTTTCTAAGATAAAAGAATTGAACTTAAAGCGCTAAACCAGTAAAAGGTAACGTGCTGTTGATAAGTATGCAAGTTCATTCTTGGTAGTTGGCTCCTAAAACAGTTATTATGGTTTTAGTTGATTCACTTCTTGATTTCCAAACCAAGTCAGACATTTTAGAAACTTTATTTAAGTGCCAGAAATTGAACTTATAAACTACAAAAAGACTGTCATTATTTGCCATTGTCATCAAGAACAACATCCAAAAAATGGATATTGTTCTTAATGATTACGCTTAATTGAAAAATTTAATAACAGAGGAAAGTTGGTTTTATTTTTATAAAACTAGATTTAGTTAAATCTAGTTTTATAAAAATAAAACTATATTTAACTAAATCTAGTTTTATAAAAAGGCTGCAAGCAACCACTAATTATTGTTGAAAGTTACTGGAAGAGAAAAGATGAAGATTGTAGAGCAAGATAACGATTGACAGATGACTTAAAAGATTGCAAATTATATGAATCAGGAAAACAAGATGAAGGAAGCTAATTCCAAAGAACTGATGTTCAAGGAAAAAAACTAGACAACTAAGAGTTTTTGGAGCATTTAGGAACAGTAACAGAAAAAGGATGAGACTTAATTGAATGACGAGTAAGACGAGAATGAATTTTAGTAGATGGGACAAGAGACGCTAGCTCTTTCGAGCAGTGCCCATTATAGTATTTGTAGAAAAGAAAAAGAGAAGCAACATTACGATGATGTGACAGAGGTTGAAGGTTGGCTGCAAAAGCAGGTCCAACTATGTTTACAATGCATTTTTGCACCTTGTCTAAAAGAGAAAGGGCATCATTAGAAGATCACCCCAGATATGGCAACAGTATTCCATACAAGGCCGGATTTGAGATTTATAGAGATAGAGAATGGAATCCAGAGTAAGTGACAAGCTCAATAAAGAGAAGCAACTTTAGCAGATGCTAATTTTGCAACAGATTTGATATAAGGTTTCCAAGAAAGATCAGAAGTAAGAGTTAATCCTAGAAGATGAAGGGTAGGAGACTCATCGAGTACATTACCGTTCATAAATATAGGAAGGTCTAAATTATTGCGATAACAATTA